TCATATATCGTCTTACCTCAATCCGAGATAGCAAGGGGGTTTTCCTAGTGATACTATGGCTAACCCCAAGAGTGAGGTTTGAAGGTGGACTTGCATCGTGCCGCGACGTTAACTAAGGCACTGTTTGGGAGGCAACCCAAAACCCATTTAATTGCTTTTTATTTCTTGGGAAACTAATAGTGTGTTGTTTGTACAGGTTGAAGTATGAGAAGTGTTCGAAAAAGTGAAGGATGGCGAGTAATAGATCCAATCGGTGAGTCACCAAAGGGGTCAGCGAATCCGACCTTATCCGCCGTTTGACTCAAGACATCGTCAATATTGAAGTCTGTAAAACTCGGCGAGCTTTGGAAATTATTGGCGAATCGCCGACCATGTCGGCCAAAATGATGGAAACCGCCATTTGGAACCCCCGTAAACCAGAAATCCTATAAATTTTGGCGAAGAAACTAAACAGTCGGCGTTCCACCGAGTGAGTAGGAGAGCTTGACTAATGTCACCGAGTGGGCGAAAACTGGACGACTTTTGCAAGCCAACGGTTTAAAAGTTTCAACTTCATTCACTTTCCCTTACTTTTTATCTGTCAAAACTCACACCTGCACTCTAGTTTCTATATTTCTTCCACTTTTAGAGCATTTTAGTTGTTGGATTGTGCTCGGACTGGATTACATTGCCGCTTAGCATTTCAATCCTCTCCTTAGTGACATAAAAGGTTAGTTCTCTATGCCCCAAGTTTAATTTATCATAAACTATACTCATTTGCAATAGCATGATCTGGTTGAATTGTTCTACTCCTCCCTGAGAGGATTAGATTGTTTAAATGCATGATTTAATTTGATATCTCTGCTCGGGTAGTTGTGACTATTGAATTCCCGTAATTGCATGCCTTGAACTGGATTTAAAATTCGAGGGGTTGTGTTTGGGTGTTATGGGTCCTGCCTTAACTGTGCTGGTGCATGCTTTGATTTTGTTTTCGGGAGTTGTAGGGTTAAATTTGAGAAGTTGGGTTGAAAATAGGCACGTTGGGCCGTTTGGCAAGCTGGGTCAAGCTCGCCAAACCACTCGGTGGTTCTCCTAATGTCCCCATCTCGCTTTTGATTTCATGCTATATCTGATAATTAATTTTGAAACTTTCGGTGAAAAGCTTGATGTCGCAGAAAGCATTTGGCGACTCACCGAAAGTCTTCTCTTTCGCCCTTTATATGCACCCTTGAACCTTTATGAACTGAAGCTTTCGGTGGTCTTGTCCTAGTTCCCTGAAAACTTTCGACGACCCACCGAAATCAATTCGCGACCCGCCGAAGAAGTTCCCCTTTCGCCTTCTTGCTACAACTTTAGAGAAAATTCCTTTGGCGAACCTGATCTAGCTCGCCTAAGAAATTCGGCGATTCGCCATCTGGCTTGGCGAGTTTGTCTGCATAAGTTCCGCTTTCCTTTTGTTTAAGTTTTTCAAATTTCTCTTCAAGACTTTGCAGATATGACTAAATCAATAGTTGTGGAAATAATAAAACCAGCCCAAGAGGAGTCAAAAGGGAGTGCGATAAATGAGGGGACAGCTACGTCGAAAGGCAAAGCTACGAAACTGACCACAACTACTAGGAAAGACAAGGGCAAAAGGCCCACTTATGCCAGGAAGACCATTACCCTGGACCGTAATATTCAATCATGGGCCAGGGGATTTTTGCAGAGCAGTGCATATCTTTCTGGCAGACACACACTCAACAGACCTTGGTGAATCCGGTCCTACTGTTCCCCCTGAGGCATGTTCGGGCACTGATGCCCAGATCCAGAGTGACACATCGGGCACTGATGACCGGGCAGATAGAGCGACTGCTTAAACAGGACCCCCTCTTTACCTCCCTCTCTATATTCCTTTAATTTACATTCTGGATATTTTATTATTTGCATTTGAGGACAATTTTTTTTTGTGGTGGGGTGAGGCCCACACATTTTGTGTGCTACTTTTGTTTGTGTTTCGTGTATATATTTGGGATGTTCTGCTTAAAATTATGTCAATACTGCTTTTCTGTGGATGTTTGAACTTGTGGCTCCTTTTATGTTTAAATTGCAAAGTGATTACGACCATTCCGAATTTTTTGTTAATATTTTGCACATTTTCACCACTCTTTATATGCTGTTGAATGTGGTTGTTCCTTAGCAAATTTGAGTCTCAGTATCGATCAATACCGATGACTTGAATAGTGCTTACAATCGAACGAACATGAATGTATGGCTACGATAAGGCCAAATGAAATTGCATAGACAATATGTGAACTTTTTGCATCTCGTTGTGCTTAGCTATTTATCAAATCGATTCTCTTGTGATGACCGTTATACACTTGCAAAAGTGTGGAGTCTTGTTTGACTTATGTGACGATGCCTTGTGTGATAAGCTTACCTGGAACCATGCATGACAACACCTAGAATTTTCCCTATTGGTCCGGTTGACTAAGTAAGACTTTCTCTTGATATGATCTTAGGCAACTTTGAAGAGTGTGAACCAATTTGACATATACCTCTTTTGTGACTTACCTTGTGAGCGTGTGATTCTCTCTTGAACACCGTTTGAGCCTTACCCTTCTTTAGAAGAAACTTGATGAAAACTAGACCTTTCTTAATCCATTACCTATAATCCTCTTGAATTGTGGTTAATTGAATAGCCAACTTAGGCCAAAAGCCTAAGTTGGGGGTGTGGTGAAAAAGAAAAGGGAAAGTCAAGAAGTGCAAGGAAAGTCTCCTTTAACCCATGGTGTTGAGAAAAAGGGAACCCTTCCATATGAGCACCACATTTTATGAGGATAAAAGTCAGTGAGCCTAAATGACCATACATTTGCACGCAGCCCTATTACAAGCCTTGAAAGAGCTTAGTGATCTTGAGTGAGCTGACACAAACGTTGATTGGAAAATACGGGCAAACCTATGGGTGAAAGCATGCATTGTGTTCAGCTACGTGTGTATGTGAGCGTTGTATATGATTCCTGAACTTTAAATTGATTATACCTTTGCGTGTGAAAATGGAATCATCATTTGTGTGAGGGCATTCAAAGGCTTTTGTTGAGCTTGAACTCGCATTTGAAGCAACTATTGTGAGCTTGAGAATCTTTGGTAATGGTGTGTCACAACTTGAATATTTGAGTACATAATTGATCCTTGCATAAGTAAATTGAGTCTTGTTGTGTACATTCATAATTGAGTCTTGTGTAGCACTATTTGAGACATCCTTGTTGAACTGCTGAACTTGAGTTTTACTTGAGGACAAGCAAAAGTTTAAGCTGGGGGTGTTGACGAGTCCACAAATTGGACTCATTTATGGCTATATTTTAATAGAAATTGTGTCCTCAAATTCTTATTTTATCACAATATCTGATGAAAACCCTTAAGTTCAGGTATTTGAAGTTTGAAGGAAAACATGGACACTACGTCGCAAAAAGGAACGAAAAGGCTGAAAAGAATGAAGAAATGAAGGCCTGAGGATCGCCGATTCCATTTGACGAGTCACCGAAGGGTCTTACTTCGCCTTTTTTTCTAGTGAGCTGAGCCCTGAAGGAAAGGATCAAGTCGGCGAAAAAAGGGAGCAGTCGACGCATCACCGAGAAATTCCGAGAAGCAGTACCATGTCACCAAATGACCCAGACCACGACGATGCTGAAGGCTGGTGCAAGACGATGGTGAACTACACCAAAAGGCAAATCACCGAGTTGATCATCGATTCCGACTAACGACGCCGAATGATCTGCTGCAGCACAAATCTGTGAAATATATAAATACTAGTTAGAGTTGTAGTTTTAAGTGTGGAACAATTATTATAATTTTCATTTAGAATAGTACTTTTTGATATTTTTTGCTCTAAGTTTGAGAGGGTTTTGGAAACTTGAAGATCCAAAGGGTTTCATCTTCAAGATTTAGATTTGGGTCTCTTGGATTCTTCAAATTTTGGCATTTATCAAGACTTAAATCTTCATACCCAGTTGAATGCGAGCTCAATTTGGTATAAATTTCTATCTCTTATACATGTGTGGCTAAAAACCACAATTCTTGGGGTGTGATATAGCGAATATGGGTTAAGATAATTATTGGGTCTTGATTGTTGATTGTTTAATCGTAGTGTAATTGTAATTTCGTTTAGTAGTTTTGGATGAATTTAATGAATTTGTAGTTGCAAATACAAGTTTATTTATGTGTTTTCAGCTTACTCGAGAGAGAGGTCATAAAACTAAAACTACTAAATTGATGGCTGGTGGGAGTGGGTCGACATGAGGTTCAGCTCGAGAGAGTGAGTGGGTTAAGGCGTAGACTGGTCTTCATGCGGCAAGTGGGTGTCCGAGAAGAACGCATTTGAAATGGGGTAAGTTGCTCGAGAGTGAGCTTATCCCCCTTAAAAGTTTAGCCTAGTCACAATTACTCTATGAATCTTCTATCGAAAACATGTACCCAATAATCTAGCTTAACCCGTATTCCCATCACATCCCAAGGATCCCCTCTCATTACTTAGAAATCCTTGTTTATTTTTCTCTTTTTACTTGTGACAACAACCCCCCCTCCCCATTGTTAATTGACACTCTTGTGTCCCCCTTTAATTTACAATGTTTTTAATCGTTAATATCTTTAGCTACAACTAGTTAGAACTAAATTTTATTTTTCTATTAATTCTCAAAACCACTCTCTTGGGAATGATCCCAACCCATGGTTGGGTTACTAAACTATTATACAATCGTAGACACTTGCATCGGAAGTTGTGTCTTGATTACGCAAACAACACTAATGCCCAAGGTTCCAACACGGATAATTAGGTTACTTGAGGGTAAAAAAATGCCACAGAGAAGGAAGCGGAAGTGACCCAAAAATATTTCCCCGTGCCTAGACCCCCACCTCCATTCCCACATAGATTGGTGAAGAAGACCGAAGAAGGAAAATACCGCAGGTTCATAACTATGTTGAAACAACTTTCCATTAATGTTCCGTTGATAGAAGCTTTGGAGCAAATGCATGGGTATGTAAAATTTATGAAGGATTTGGTGAGCAAAAAGAGGGCCGTCAGTTTTCAAGATGATGAAAGGTTACAACATTGTAGTGCTATTGCTACTAGTTCACTTATGCAGAAGAAGGAGGATCCTGGAGCTTTCACTATTCCTTGTACCATTGGAATGTTGCATTTTGCAAAGGCGTTATATGATTTGGGTGCCAGCATTAATCTGATGTTGTTGTCGATCTACAAGAAGTTGGGTTTAGGGGCTCCAAAACTGACTGCGATGCGTCTACTCATGGCCGATAGAACTGTGAAGAAACCCATTGGTGTTCTCTAAGATATCCTTGTGAAAGTGGAGTCATTCATTTTTCCAGCGGATTTTGTGATACTTTATTATGAGGTTGATTTTGAGGTTCCCATCATCTTAGGGAGACCATTCCTTGCTACTGGGCGTTCCTTAGTTGATATGGAGAGAGGGCAGATGAAGTTCCGACTGAATAATGAGGAGGTAACTTTTGATATTTGTGGATCCATGAAGCAGGAAAGCGATCTTAAGTCGGTATCAGTGGTGAATCATATTGTGGAGCGAGGTTCTGAAGTGTCTATTGAAGAGAGGTTGGGTGTTGATACATTGGCAGCAATAATGATGAATTTTGAAGGTGATGGTATTAAAGACTATGATGAATTAGTTTCCGCACTTGATAGGTTTGAATTTCGTTCCAAACCAAAAAGATTAGAGCTAGATATGAAGAGTCACGACTCTCCACCCATAAAACCGTCTGTGGAAGATGCTCCAAAATTGGACTGTGGAAGATGCTCCAAAATTGGAGCTCAAGGCTCTACCATCTCATTCGAGGTTGTATTCTTGGGGGATGATGGCACTTTATCGGTAATCATTGCAGCTGATTTGAGTGAGGTACAGGTAGAGGCATTTGTTTTTGTGTTAAAGAGGTTCAAGCGGGATAATTGGATGGACTATTGCGGACATTATTAGGATTCCTCCTGGTATTTGTTCTCATAAAATCCAACTGATGCCGGACACCAAGCCAAGTATTGAGCACCAAAGGAGACTTAATCCACCTACGCAAGAGGTAGTGAAAGAGGAGATCATTAAATGGTTAGATGTTGGAATCATATATCCCATTGCTGATAGTAGTTGGGTCTGTTCTGTTCAATGTGTACCTAAGAAAGGTGGGATTATTATGGTTTCTAATGCACAAAATGAGCTTGTTTCGATGAGGCTGGTGACTGGGTGGAGAGTGTGCACAGACTACCGGAAGCTTAATGCATGGACAAAAAAAGACCACTTCACAGTGTCATTCATGGATCAGATGCTGGATCGTCTCACTAGTAAGGGTTGGTATTGTTTTCTAGATGGGTATTCAGGGTACAATCAAATCTCCATAGCTCCGGAAGATTAAGAAAAAAACACCTTCACTTGTCCTTATGGGACTTTTGCCTTCAAAAGGATGGCATTTGGGTTGTGTAATGCCTCAGCGACTTTCCAGAGGTGTATGATGTCAATATTCTCAGATATGGTGGAGGACACGATTGAGGTATTTATGGATGATTTCTCTGTGGTAGCTGACTCATTTGATGGTTGTTTGATGCATCTGGCCGAGGTACTGAAACGATGTGAAGAGTGCAATCTTGTGCTCAATTAGGAAAAGTGCCACTTCATGGTGAAAGAGGGCATAGTTCTAGTTCATCGGATTTTTGAGAAAGGTATTGAGGTTGATAGAGACAAAATTGAGGTAATTGAAAAGGTTCCACTACCTATCTCTATTAAAGGTGTTAGAAGTTTTCTTGGGCATGCAGGTCTTTACTGGAGGTTTATCAAAGATTTCTCTAAAATTGCACACCCATTGTGCAAACTGCTCGAAATGGAGTGTAAGTTTGATTTTGATGATGTTTGTCTGAGAGCATTTGGAGAGTTGAAAGAAAGGTTAGTATCAGCACCTATCATTATTTCACCGGATTTAGGGCAACCGTTTGAAGTAATATATGATGCGAGTGGGGTGGCGCTTGGTGTGGTATTGGGACAGAGGTGAGAGAAGATTTTTCATCCGATTTACTATGCCAGCAAAGCTCTGAATGTGGCTCAAAAGAATTATAGTGTGAGAACTCCTTGTTGTGGTTCTTGCATTCGAGAAATTTCGATCCTACTTGTTTGGTACTAAGGTCATAGTGCATACTGACCATTCTGCATTGAGGTATCCGATGACTAAAAATGATGCAAAACTGAGGTTGATTAGATGGGTATTGTTGCTGCAAGAGTTTGATTTTGAGGTGAAGGATAGAAAGGGGATAGAAAATCAGGTTGCCGACCATTTGTCCAGATTAGAGGAGGAAGCGATGCTCAAGTTAGGAGATAGGGCTGAAATTAATGATGCATTCCCAGACGAACAGGTATTGGCTGCTTCTTATGATCTTATCCTTGGTTCGCAGATTTTGCTAACTACTTGGCAAGCGATTTGGTTCCATCGGATTTGTTATTTCACCAAAGGAAAAAGTTTATGCATGATGTAAAGAAGTTCTTTTGGGATGAGCCTTACTTGTTTCACATTTGTGCTGATGAGATTATTTGTCGCTGTGTAATCGAGGTTGAGATGATGAGTATACTAGAGGCGTGTCATTCATCACCTGTTGGTGGGCACCATAGTGGTATTTGTACTGCTCGTAAAATCTTGCAGTGTGAGTATTACTGGCCCACCATCCACCAAGATGGTCATGATTTCTCCAAATCTTGTGACCGTGGCCAAAGAGAAGGAGGAATTTCCAAGAAGCAAGAGCTACCTATGAATCCGATATTCGTGATTGAGTTATTTGATGCCTGGGGCTTGACTTCATGGGTCCTGTAAGTTCACATAGGATGCAGTATATTTTTGTTGCGGTTGACTATGTATCGAAATGGGTGAAAGCAATTGCGATTTCAAACAATAAGGGAAAGAGTGTCACCTCATTCCTTAAAAAGAGTATCTTCTCCAGATTTGGTACTCCTAGGGCGATTATTAGCGATGGATGTTCTCACTTTTGTAATAAGTTGTTTAAGGCGTTGCTATAGAAATATGGAGTTTGTCACAATGTAGCTTAGACCTTTAACATCCGCAGTCTAGTGGGCAAGTTGAAGTGTCAAACAGAGAGATAAAGAAAATCATTGCAAAGACTGTAAATGCCAATAGAACGGATTGGTCAAGAAGGCTTGATAATACTCTATGGGCCTATCGCACCGCATTCAAGACTCCCATATAAGATATTGTGCACCTCCTTGGACATGTGCACCTTGGACATGTGCACCTTGACTTAGGCCAAAAGCCTAAGTTGAGGGTGGCTAATTCAAAAAGTTACCTTGATCTTGGCCCTGGTCCGATATAAGATATTGTGCACCTCAACTCATGCAAAATACACAAGTTGAGGGTGGCTATGAAAAAGGAAACCAAAAGAAAAGGGTATGAAAAGAGTTTTGTGTTGAAGAGAGCAAAGAAAAGATAGAAAAAGATGTGACTTTGTGCAAAAGAAGCAAAAAGATAAATAACAAAAGTGCTGAAAGAAATAAATAAAAATAAAGTAAAAGAAAAAGAATAAAGTGAAAAATAAGAGCTATAAATTCAAAAGTCACATCTAAGTGTTGAATGAATCCTTAAACTTGAATTTCATAAATATTGTGAGTGAAAAAGGATTTCTGTTGAAGTAAGGGCACTACTTACATTAATGGAAAATTGGTACCTTGGTGATTGTGAAAAATGTATGTTGTGGTGTCAATCGGTCGATCTATGTCATGCTTTGATCCACATAAGTTAGCTTGTTGAGTCTAGAAAAATAGATTTGCACTAATGTGATGGAAATTTATTGAGAAAGCCATGTGATTGCTTGAGTTTGGATGTCTGCTTCTACATAAGTGTCGTTCAGAGTGTTAGTGTGTCACTTGAGGACAAACAACAAGTTTAAGTTGAGGGTGTTGATATACCGTGAGTTTATGGTATTTTTGATACATTTCACTTATAGTTTGTGTGTGTCTTAGGCCATTTTGTGATTAAAACTGATGCTTTGTGTATAATGTTTGCAGGAAATAGGCTTGGATGCGGCTGATAAAGATGTGAGCTGAAATTTGCTGAAGTAGCCATCAACAGTGCCATCCATAGACTGTAGGTCCATCAGTGGATGGGCAATCGTAGGTCTTGGCCTGGAAGATGAGTTTCAGTAACTCAAACTAAGGAGTGCCAGGACGGACCGTAGCCCAGTCCACGGACCGTAGGTGGTATATCGTAGGTGGAAAATAAGGGAAGTCTTACAAGTGTGGAACCACAGAGCAAGATGACGGACCGTAGGTCGACCCACGATCCGTCTTGCACGTCCGTCAGTAATGATCTGCAAGTTGAAGGTTTCAGTACCTGATGAAAAGTTTTTAAGTATTGAACCATGAAGGGTGACCTACGGACCGTAGGTCGACCCATGGTTCGTAGGTCGTGTCGTTGACAGAAGCCGCGTCCAGACATCTTATTTCCTTATTTTGTTTCCTTTTTATTTAGGACTTGTTTTTGTAAATAGGAGTTATAAACCTCATTTTGGGAGGTTAGACATTATTGTATACTTCTAAGTTTGTGTTTTGGGAATTAATTTGCAAACTCTTAGCAATTAATTTTCCATATTTCGTTTTATATGATTTTGACTTTAAATTTCAATTGAAGATTTCAGGTTTCATCAATTCTTCTTGTAAGTTCATGAATTATTTTTATCCAATTATGAATTGTGTTCTTTCAAACATGAGCATCTAAATCAACAACTAGGGTTGTGGAAACCTTGAGCAATTAACAAAGTATGAATAATAATTAAGTAATTCTTGAATAGTGTTTATGCATGTATTGTTAATTCTTTCGCTTAGAAGTCTTTTTACTCGTGGCCAATGCTAGAACTCACCTCATTGCTAATTGCTGGACCAAGGAGGTAGTTAATGAGAAAAGAATTAACAACGGAGATTTAGTGGATGTTATCTAATACTCTAATGTCAATTGGTGCGAGGGTGAAAACTAAGTCATACATTGATGTGATGTCTAATCTGAGGTAAAGGTAAGGGTTAGTAAAGTATATACTCGTAGCCGGACCAAGGTGCGTAGTGAAATTGTCTATTTGGAGGACCAATCACTTAGGGATACCTAACTTTCCAACTTTGCAAGTAAAACACTAGGAAATGATTACTATTATTAGGATTACTGCGTTAAGAGCTTGTGGGGAACACACATACCCTAGTTTCTCTCTCATATTGATCACTCAGAGTTTGAATCTTGCTTACTTGTTAGTTAATCAATAATCTGTTACTTGCTTACAAAAAACCCCCCTTTTATTTACTTGTCTCGGAAATAGTTTTACTAAACGGATATGATAGTAAGTTAAGTTTAAGTCTAAACCATATTCCTCGTGGGATTGACCCCAACCTACAAGTTGGGTTCTTTATTTGACAACGATCACTTATACTTCTTTAGGGAGGTGTAATTTGAACATATCACTTATGAGACATCCTAGGACCATTCTAAACCTTGTGCTCTGATTAACAAGTTTGTCACTACCCAATGGGTACAGTCTTCGAAGCATGAGGACTCACCAAAGCTCAGAAAACATCTAAATTAACTACTAGCCAAGAAACTGATTACCCTGATTGTCGGATCCTACATTTGGGGAAAATGTAGGCAAGAATATGCGTTAGTACAAAAATGCACTAAGTATGATAGCTATGCAGAAAACATTTAAAACATGATAAAAGGGACATTTCATTTCATAACATGCAATTTACCAAGTTAAAACATAACATAATAGGAGTTAGCAAATATTCTTCATAAACATGGTCAATGCAAGCTAGCATCATCTTTAAAACCTTTAAATACTTACAGATACTTATTGAAGTAGCCTTACTTCCTTATTAATCTTGTTGTGAGAATTATCCCTAACCGACATCGAGACCATGTAAGCTATAACATGATCCCCCGGTGTCTCCCACAC